CCTGAATGTAAGCTATTTAATGTAGTACCTACTGCATACCCTGAATGTAAACTATTTATTTTCGTGTTTCAGGTTCGTCTATACTTTCACTGGACTTTATTCGTTTATTTCCCAATACAGCCTGAAAACTACGTCTGTGTTGTCTAATACAGTCCCAGAACGTCATTTATATGTAAACTTCGTTGTTCATCAGTATAGTCCCTATTATTTGTCCTTCAATTCTCAAAAAAGTCTGTTATCTAATATCTGTGCGTTATCCAATACAGTTCCTAAGTGTTATCTATGTGTTACTAAATACAGTCCTTAAACTTGAAACTACAAGTAGCTTAGAAGTAAGCTTGGGCTTGGGGGCTTAGGGGTTCTATCCCTGCGTTAGGCACAGTTTTGTGGTTAAACAAAAACAAATCCTGAGCTTTGACCATCTCCTAGTCCTTACATTTCCCACACTTTGTTTATATAATTAACAATACTCACTGTAATGCTTGAGGTCAAATTCGTTTTTTAGATTTCGCCTGTTTGTTAAGCAATACTGTTATATATTTTGCCTATATGTTATCAAACGCGCGTTTTAAATTATTTCTGTCTGTTACGCAGTTAGTCTTGTAGTTCGGGAAGTGCTATATGTTTAACACCTCTTTAGTTAAAATGTAACATTTTCAAATTATGTTGTTTTTCTTAGTTCCCCGGATCCAACACACTGACGCTCAAGTATTTTTTAACTTTTACTTTCCTTAAGGAATGAACTAGGTTAAGTCATGGTTAAGAAGCCTACTTGTCTGAATCTCTCGCAGGTATATCAACGTTATTCTTAATGGCGAATCAGATAACAGTTGCGATTGGACACGCCCTTGATTGTCTGCGCATTGGTCAGCTGATCTATCAGGCACCAATCACTGTTTTCTTTTGTCAAGAATCGGAGAGTTTATTGACATATTTAAGACAGTGATGGGGCGTGGGAGAGCAGGTTTTTCAGATTTGGCTTCATCTGCAGCTTAATTACGTTATATAACTTGCTTCATGGGATAGATTTATTTTTATCAAACGGCTTAAAGCGAGGGTTAACTTTATTATTTACATTTTAACTTGGGGACATTCTCTGTTAGTATTACTCTTGCATAAGTTACAGGAAGAAGAACCCGTACTAGTTCACTTGTCTATTAAAGTTGTCATCTCTCTTACTAGTTCCACACTCTTTATTTACACAAACTCAAGATCGTCTGTCCTACTGTGAACTGCATAACTGTTTATTGCATTATTGTTTGTAGTTTAAAATGTAGTATTATCATTAAACATTTTTTTGTGTGCAAATCTATCTCTTGTCTCTTTCTTTGTGACTTAATTGTATCGACTCGTTGAGAAATATGCACCCAAGCACAAGAACCGAGAATATCCAGTTGTTATCGGGCCTAACATTCCTGTTTTGCTGGTCATCCGTGAGACACCACAGTCCATAAACTTTATCAAACTCTCACCTAATACAACAGTTAAGCCTTGTTAATGTGTTAGACCCATAATATATTCATGTTTATTTTATATAAAATTACACTAACTGTGAAAGCAATCCTTTCTCTGTTTTCATAAGAATTTAGTTCTCCATTAGGAAATTTACTTTCAAACTGACTCTTGTGGATTTTGAAAGACTTTACTGTTTTACTGTATGTCAGCGTTTTCTACCTTTTAATAATATTATACCTTATCTCTGATAGGTATAAGTAATATAATAGTGTGCAACAGACTTACTGTTTCTTCATCAGTTTTACAGCATTGTGGAAAAGTACACACGTACATTCCGAAAATATGTACCTTTTTTCGTATTAAAAGTCCTTATTTCTTCATATTAAAAGTCCTTATTTTTTCGTATTAAAAGTCTTTATTATAAAATAGTTTGCTAACGTTTGAAATCAAACATTCTTTAATATGTTTTAACTTCATGCTTATCAATGTTTGTTACTTAGAAGATTTGTAAAGAACCGTAGTGTGCATAACTAGTTGTCTTAAAACTACAAAGTAGTGCGCGTAATTGGTTGTATTTAAGTTACAACGTAATATGCATCAGTTGATAAAAGTCAACATCACTCACACATAGGGGCAGAGAAAGAACAAAACTGTGTCAGAATGTAATATCGAGATCTGAGACGAATAGTAAGGTCAAAATTACAAGGCGAATTCAGAGAGAAAGACCAAGCCGAGATCAGCAGTCTCAAAATAAAAGTATAAAAACAGCTATGTGAAGAAAGACCAAGACTGGGTCAAACGTCTCAGTATACAAATAGGTGTGAAGAAAGACCAAGACCGGGTCAAACGTCTCGGTATACAAATAGGTGTGAAGAAAGACCAAGACTGGGTCAAACGTCTCAGTATACAAATAGGTGTGAAGAAAGACCAAGACCGGGTCAAACGTCTCGGTATACAAATAGGTGTGAAGAAAGATCAAGACCGGGTCAAACATCTCAGTATACAAATAGGTGTGAAGAAAGACCAAGACCGGGTCAAACGTCTCGGTATACAAATAGGTGTGAAGAAAGAC